GTTCGATAGGAAAAGGGGCAGACAAAGAACGAAAAGCCACACAAGGTTAATATTTACTGCCCGATATGACCATTTCTATTTTGTAGTATTCACCAACGGTTATAAGGGTCAAGGGAATGAAAAGTTTTCTTAACCGTATGTAGTAATACGACAACGGTTCTAATGGTCGAAGGAATGACATTGTATTTAAACATATTTAGTTATACAATAAAGGACGAAAGCTGTTTATAACCTTCATGACGTTACACAACGTTTGGCTACGATATATACAATGTGTCGATTCTTTAACTAACATTTCATGTTAACAATTTTCAGTTATCAAGATCAGCTTTTAAGTTATGGTCACATTAATTGTTTTATGTTAACTAAAATAGTTAATTTCATAAGCATAATAAAGCATGAAAAATAATCACAGAAAATTTAAATATGTAACTATTTAAGCAAAGGACTGTTTAGTGTAATAGAGTCGGAAGAACAATGCTCAGTCTGCTGCAGAATAGAACATCTATGCTGTGCAGGGTGCAGTGGCATAAAGCAGGCCATCATTTTCTCCAAATCCACAGGAGAAACGTTGAAGTGCTGTAATAAACAGTAGGTAAAAGGTAGATTTAAATAACACAACCAGATTCACACGATAAACGGTCATAAACACAGGATGTAGGTATATATACGATGTCTCATTTATACAACGAGACATAATAGTTTGTGATACAAGTATTAAACTAATGTACATACCACTACATGACACGGGGATAGAAATAATTCACACAATATGCTGCAGCCAACAGAACGTTAAGACTTAATCAAGGTGAATAGAAATATATACACTAAGCAAAACACAAACAAGAAAAACAAACATATGACGCCTTGTATTTGAACGTCAACAATACCGACAACATATCTAAACGTCTGCCTCATTAGATACTGTTATACTTACTATCTTAGTTCTGATCTAGAATAGATTTTTTAAAAACTTTTTGTTTGTAAGTATTACAGAGAGAAATCTGTTCACCTATTGTAAAGCTGAACATTTTCGGGTTCCATTGATAGGTAGTATATGAAAGGTGTTATCAAAATCTAGCTGTGTTACAAAGCCTCTTTTCCAAAAAAAAATACAAAAAAAAAATTAAAAAAATGAGAATTTTCACAGAAACAAATTACATACTACACATCATATAGTATGCCACGTTATCCACGTAGATGTATTTCAAAATGTGTTTCTAAACATTCGGGTTGCTTGGAAAATCTTATCATTAGTATCACAATGTGACCGAAAACAAGAAAGAACATGTTAAATATGTTGACGCTACGGCCTACCTAAATACTGCCTGTAGTTATACATGTAATATGTAGTATTCCTAATTTGTCTGTTTCGACACAATGATAAACCGCAGAGCACATGGCATTGTTAACACTTCCATTATGGCAAACGTTTTATATCTATTCACCTTTTTTTCATTCTTCCACTTTTCAAATCTATATATTTGATCTTTGATACCTGTTTGCGTTGCTATGTAATAACACTTCGTGTATGCTATTGTAATGAAATTAAATATCAGTATCGACACAACTGGAAGATTTATTGCTTTGAGAAAATTCCTCCAGCTTGTAAACACGACACATGGGATTGTCAATACATAACGCCTTATATTTCTATGTTGTATTTCGAAATGAATTAATAGTCAGGCCGGTTTATTAGTAACATTTCATCACAAGACGTCCCTGTTATTACCTGCTGTGTAAACAAATACTGGTGCGGTGATATAAGGCATTGTATCAACTCCAACATGTGGTGGAGAACTTCCTTGTTAACGTAAGAGAGTAAAGCTTACTAATCTACAAATATTGACACTGTGGTACGACACAAAACAGGCAGATTTACTTCCCAAATAATAACAACAAATTCACATGATTAATTTCAAACACTGACAGGTTTTTTAAATGTCTGCTATTATGATTGTGTCTATTTATATACATTTTAGCAGACACGGTTTGATTGTCCACAGAGAAGTCATTTCAGCGACAGTTTAACAGCCTGTGGTATAAATACTGCTAGGTCATCATCAAGGTCATTTCTATGATAATCGATGATAGATTAACACAAACATTGGTCTTTATATCAAATAGCTGTGCTTTAAGTGAATACCCCACATAAATACGTGTGTTAGCAACGCGTAATGCGCTTAGTAAAGAAATATGTATTGACAAGGAAAACGTAATGATTCATTCAAAACCGAAAATATTTAGGACATACCTAAACAGTTCTTGGTAAAATTCAAATATTAAATTTGTAAAATCAATGTTTACATTGTCCCTGCAATACAAGGTAACCTGCGACGGGAGAACGATCCCATTATGATAACAGTTATGATTACGACCTTACGTAAGGTGTGATCTCTCAAACGTCAATATATACGTCTTACAAACGTGCTTGCCAAATTTGATATTTCTGAAAGTGTAGTCGACAACACTATGACAATAAGGTAGTAATTTCTGTAATCTGTTTTAATATCTTAAAGCCATAAGAATACCTTAACCGAACTAATGTGTTTGAGCCTCACTACTTGCCATTTGGATTGCATAAACTGCCTTTAATAAATTAAAAGGTGTAAGTAAATAGGTTAAGCTTATATTTTATCAGTTATCGTATGTGCTTTGGTTGTGACCTGATATTGTGACTGGACCTATAGGTACACAGCTATCTACTATGTCTACATATTAATTCGAAAACGAAACCCCCACAAAACTAGTCTAATCTACGGTACTTAGGTGTATGTGAATTATAGGTCCCTGACATATCCCTGATTAACACACAATAGATCCACTACCAGCTACAAACACCCTGCTGATTTTCTCAATGGACTGTATCATACGATTCTATTGAGTCTATAGGTTTTCTGTAAAAACATTGGTCTGAAAAATCACCATAACTCATCAAACACCGGCAAGATAGACTGGAATAGACCCTATCTGTAAACTACACAGGTATGTACACACTTAATATCACGATACAGTTGATTACGGTTCGAATTAGCTTGAAATGTTTAAAATCGATTTTTATGATAATCAAGTGAATTCTTAAATAAGAGTAAAATTAATTATCAAGATGCATTAAAATCATCACATTAACCTAATTTAACTGTTTTATGCATGGGCTTTTGAAGACAAAGTCACCAAATTACTTTATTTGGTAAATTATCTTTACTTGTAAAGCTAACTGGACTGACATACAGCTCCTACTAACGTACTATTCGATTTAGCGATGAACTGTTATTTAACGGATAGATAAGTTTGAGGGGTACGGTCTATAACCACCAGAAGCGGCGGTGGGCTGTCAAATACAGATATGTTTATAATCACAGGTATTCATTGTTCGAACTGCAGATCTTTAAAAAGATGCCTTACCTGTCGCACCTGAGCCCGTGAATTGTGTCTTAAGACGAGATCTGACCGGCACACATGACACTTACAACGGGAAACGGGCTCTGCATAAAAATGATTGGGGAGTAAAGTTAACTGGGCCTGATCCTATTCTGTGTGGACATTATCGCGAATCAATATCGAACCAACGCCTTGGCAGTAACACAACCTGTTTATGGTTCCTAAGACAATGGACTTCAAAGAGGGCCAATTAGCAGTCTCATCACTTCACAACAGCTGTGATCAGTGTATGTACAGGTGAGACAAATAGTAGGTATAGGATTCTAAAGACAGGTGTGTTGACTACCTGGATATTGGACCTGGTCGTGTGCTGTCTGAAAACATGATTACTTCAGGTAGGTCATTAATTGCTAACTTTCGATGACTGTGGCGACAAGTGGCGATTCTTCAGTAAGGACAAAAAAAGATTGACATGTGGACATTTAAACTGGACACACGTGTTAATTCATAATCAAGAATGAGGGCCATATGGACAGAATATGGTGATCGGGACATTTAAATCCAGCACCTATAGGATTCATGTGAAGATTTTGGAGAAACATCTTTTGTAAGTCCATACATTCACTTGAAAGGTAATCTTATATATATTGGACAGGAGTTTTAAAACTTATTCGTTTGGTGTTTTAGCAGACCATTACGTTGTGGTCAAACTCGATTACCCACAAATATACTGCTTTCAAATATCCACATAACTACGGACATTACCCAGAAATTAACATTTGTCTGGACAACCTGTGCTATGTGTTGACATTCTGAAGATATCAATTTGTCCCCCACCACCATATACACGTATGGTAAACGCTAACGTTTGGTGTAAACACCGGGCCATTTAAACTCGAGATTGAATCACAAGAGGTGTTATGTTAGGGATGGCACATGTCTAACATCGATTTTTCCTTCACTGGAATATTGAATTGATAATTTGACAGCTAGGCATTAAGAGACTCAACCAACCATGAAAACGGGAATTATAGATGTTCAGTTCGATCACGAAGACACTGAAAACGTGGCGGTCGTCGGCAAGATCGGAAAGATGGCGAAGAAAGTCAGAATTAAAACCAACGTAGAACATATGGAAAGAAAAGAGAAGAAAAAGAGACGACGACGACAAGGATATCCAAATTTAGCACAAGCACAGAGGTCGAAAGAAATTGGCAATGAAACAGACAACGATTCTTTGGAGGAGGATGACGGAATTTTACCAACGATAGAGGGATTCGACCCTCGGAAAAGGAAAGCAGAGGAAGTATCAGATATCAGAAACACGCGACCGGGAATATGTGATGCTTGTAAGAAAAAAGGTCTGAATTCTGCTGATGAATACATGCGAAGGACTTTCAAAAAATATGACACGAAAGATGCTCACAGTGACGGACATTGCATAGTGTGTCAAGAAATAGGCGCAAATTTTAATTTTCTTGATTCCAATTCTGGATCGGCATCTATGACCTACCCACGTGATTTTTACGATAAATTTTCGCGCGAGACAAAACCGCCAAACATTGATTCAGAGCCAGAACCGTCACGTGGTTCTCCAGGACTTCCTTCTATACAAGAGGAGTTAAGATCCTTTCCCAGCAAGCCTGACCCTCTCGGGACGACAGGTGAGAATGTATTTGAATCTGCTCGAAAGGGCGTACTTGCACGGTTAGCTGCAGAATCGCCAAAGCGTAGGGATGCTTTAGGACGAAGCAATGCAGGTAGAGAAAGAGGGGGGAACCTTTTTATGGATTCCGGAAGGAGAGATGAACCAACGAGGTATTCTCCATTTATGGAGAAAATTAAGAAAGACAGATATAGGACTGAACTACAATATCCAGACGCCGAAAAGAAGGAACTATTAGTTAAAGAGTTTCAATTCGAAACTCCAAAACTAGATTTAACTGGGCATGGTGATATTCGAAACGTCTCTAAACGGGACCTTGAGTACCGTAAGGACATCAAATACAGCACTAGTTTCGAACCCTCAAAATTTCGCCATTTAGTGAAAACTCGTGTAAGGTACGAGGAGTACCCCCTCCCTACATTAAATGCTTACTGTTTTGCACCGCAGGAAGTTTCAGACGAATTCGAGGACTTGCCCTTCAATAGGGGTCTTAAAGGAGGGACCATCAAAAAGGATCCAAACCCGTTTCATAGAGAACGCCAAGAACTACTTCAGAAGCAGGAAAGGAATTGTAAGTACACGATGTTGATACAGCTCATAGGTACAGTAATTTGTGTATTTTATATTAAACGTAACCTCGTAATTAATGTACTTCTACTGCATAGTATGATGGTTAGGTCATTAGAAGATGAATTATTTAAACTGTACCATATTCGATTTTATAGTAATCTGCTATGTGTATAGATATAAATAACCATACTATTTAAAATCAATCACAGAAACGGTCTACACAGATGTTTTGAATGTTCAACATAACTTCATATTTACAAAAGTTTTGAGGCGATCTCTACAAGGACAATAATATCGCCCTTCATAGCCATGCCATTTCTATACACGTGTTGTGATAACTTTACCCACTATAACTTAAATATCTGTCAATTAATCAGTTTCTGTATATGTTGAAATGGCAACTGAGGTAGAGATACCGAAACTTTATTTAAACTCCATAATGAGAGCAATGTTAATAGATTTAATGAAAACAAACACTTGAATAAGTAGAACAGCCGAGATACGACGTTCGGCTATAACTTTACACCTGCCTGTGGTTCTGGCCCCTGTCCTACAGGGAAGTTTTGGTAAGCATGTGTTAGATGTTATCACACACACTGGAAAGTCAATAACTACCAGGATTCCTCGTGTTTTTTTATTCCCATTTAATTATAAACTATCCTGAGTTTACGCGATCGTCAGGTGTTAAAGACCTCAATCATTTACCTGTTACTGTAGGTCTCTTGGTATGCGTATATGGGAATTACGATGTCACCTCCTCAAGTGGTTATCTGTCCTTTGATCTTAAAGTTAGGCATGCACAAGCATAATACCTTAGTGATTATGACACAATGAATAAAACAATGACGCAGCGGATTTTTGTGAAATACGTAAAAA